GAGCAGAGATTCCCCTGCAGCCTGTGGTGAAGACCATGGTGAGGCAGGCTGTCCCCCTGCAGCCCATGGAGGTCCATGGTGGAGCAGATGTCCACCTGTAGCCCGTGGAGGACCCCACGTCAGAGCGGGTGGATGCCCAAAGGAGGATGTGACCCCGTGGGAAGCCCACACTGGAGTAGGTTCCTGTCAGGACTTGTGACTCTGTGGGGGACCCGTGTTGGAGCAGTCCCTTCCTGAAGGACTGCACCCCATGGAAAGGGCCCAGGCTAAAGCAGTTTGAGAAGAACTGTCGGTCATGGGAAGGACTCACATTGGAGAAGATTCATGGAGGACTGTGTCCTGTGAGAGGGACTCCACACTGGTGCGGGGGAAGGAGTCCTCCCCCTGAGGAGGAAGAAGCGGCAGAAACAACGTGTGATAAACTGACCTCAACCCCCATCCCCTGTCCCTCTGGAGGGAGGAGGTAGAAAATCGTGAAAGAAATTAAGCCCGGGAAGAAGGGAGGGGTGGGGGAGGTGTTTTAATATTTGGTTTTACTTCTTATTATCCTCTAATTTTGATTGGTAATAAATTAAATTTGTTTTCCCCCCAAGTCGAGTCTTTGCCCGTGCCAGTAATTGGTGAGTGACCTCTCTCCGTCCTTATCTCCACCCACGAGCTTTTTGTTATGTTTTTCTCCCCCTGCCCAGTTGAGGAAGGGGAGTGATAGAGTGGGCTTTGGTGGGCATCTGGTCTCTAGCCAGGGTCAACCCACCACAGACATTAACACACACATCTTAAAGCTCTGAATGGCTTCATGCAGAATTGAGTAAACTTGTAGTTTAATCTGTGGACAGAACCTCCTGTAATCCATGTTAAGTACTCTCTCAATGCCCAGATGAATGAGTGTGTTGACTGAAGTCAAAATGATGTTCAACCTAAACTATCTTAGAGTTAGTAGTTCCCTTTTTTTCTACACTAGAATTTTTAATCAGTGGTGCTGAAAGATCTTACAATGAAAATCCAATTCAGTCTTTGGTAGTGACCAAAAACAGCACAGCAATCACTCTGAAAATACTGTAGTGAATAATTCAGATCATGTTTGCTAGTTAAAGGCTGGGCAATTTTGCCACTTTGTTCTGAGCAGTAAGCTCTCCAGCTGATTTCAGTTACATCGTTAATTAAGATCCAAACAGTGGATGAGAGTCTTTGGTGGCTCAGATACACACTGTACTACATATGTCTTTAACCATATATATAAAAGTTGCATTTAAGTGAGCTATATGAGAGTTACACACAATGTACCAGAGCATCAAATTCTTTCTGTACCTGAGGTACATCAAGGTAGATTGAAATTCCTTAGAAATTACAAATGAAAAAAAGCAATAGTTTCAGGCATATCACTAAAAATAAAAGGAGACAAAATTAATTAAGGTAACTTTACACATAAATAGTAGCACATCTTTCACAACTTCCCCTGGGAAATGTTTTTTATTGCTTCACAAATCACAATTACGCAAGTCTGCTTGACAATCAAGACAGGGTCTCTACCCACCCCATCCTTAACTATTTACTTAGTGTATAAATAAATGAAAGAATGACTTAGTTTTATCCAGTTTGGAAATCAGCCCTCTCCTGGCTTATGTCAGAAGGCAGTGGTCATAAACATCCGTTAAGAAAGGGGCCACTTGGTGCCACCATGCAATTAAATGAGTCACAGAATATGTAAAGACTTTATAACATAAACCATGCAAAACTAAGCAACTGTTATATGGGGGGTAAGTTATGTAGCTGGATGCATTAATCAAAAGAGCAAGCTAATGACTTTCTTGACATACGAATTTCAGTGCTGGCAATGAAAAATAGCAGAAGCAAACATAATACTTATTATTTTGGATCAGTAAGAATAAAAAGGAAACTAAACTTGTTAGGAGATGATCTAGCAGGAAAGAAGAAAGAACTCAAAGATGTGTTCTTCTGTAAAAGGACAATTTTCTACAATTCAGCCAACTCCTTACAAGAATCTTCCAACTTACTGGCACTTTGAAGTCCTGTGCCAGTTACTTTCTGTATGGTAAAAAATTCAATAAAAAAAAAATATTGCATTCCTCTGGCAATATATTTAACGTGTCTGTCGCAACTCTTTCTAAAAGAGTTTCATAAAGTCCCTTTTCTGCAATCCTAGAATATTTTACATGTGCATACC